TCTCATCCAAGAAGCTTCTTCAGCTGACTGGATGGTGGGGAATGGAAGGATTTATATTTCTTGCAGACAGCTGGCCATTTGCTTTCTTTTAGAGAGATCAGCTGTCTGCAAGGAGTATACATCCTCCCATTCCCCACCATCCAGTTAGAGCTGAAGAAGCTTCTTGGAGGAGAAGCAAAACGTCTTCAAAGAAGAAACAAGGAAGTCCAGTTAAAAAAGCAGCTTTGGGACAATCATGACCTGGATGACTGAGAATCTCCATAGACACCCTAAGGAAAGAAGCTGTGGTTGCAAGAGTGGTGGTTGTGAAAAGAAATGGAAGTGAATGCGCCGCACACTGCTTGGCGCTCCCGGAGGAAACAAAAAAAAAAAAAGGGGGGGGGTAGAAACCTAATATATGGAACAAGTAACAAGCTGGACAAGGCTGGCTCCCGCCAAGCTCCCCTCTTTCGTACATCACGGCGAGATGACGGGAGGCAATAAGCGCGGAAGGCTTTGTAACTCTCGACATGTATAGGGAGCAAAATGGCAGTGCTAGGCGAGAGAAAAAGTCCCCGAGAGCCCTTGGAAACTAATAAATGGCGGCCCCTGCCCTTTTGGAAAACCCCATGCCATTATCAGAGCGGGAGAGAAAAGAGAAAAGAGAAAAAAAGAAGCGAAACTCTCGAAACCACGTAAACGCCCGTTACCTACTAGACCCGACTTGGAGTCACGTGCGAAAAAGAACCTGACTCCCGCCGCCGGGCTTCTTAAAGCGCACGCGCGCCACCTCACTTCCGCCCGCTCTTTTTCTCTCTCTCGCTCTCTGCTCGACGGGCGTGAACGGGGGCGGGGGGGGGGTGCGATTGGCTCCTTCGTCTTGTCTCTGTCTCCGGGTTGGCTCGTGCTGGGTCCCGCCTTAGCGCGCGCGAGGATTTCTGCAGCGAGCCCTGGGCTGAATAGGACGGGATTGCGATTGTTTTGGTCTTCGACGTTCTCAATAAAACAGGCTGTCCGTATGTTTGATGCCCTTTGTTGTTCAGTCGCTAAGTCGTGTCCGCGTCTTCGAGATCCCACAGAATGCTAGCTCCCCACCTCTCCTTCACTGTCTCCTGGAGTTTGCCCAAACCCATCTTCGGTGCATCGGTGATACTATCGTAACCATCTTATCCTCTGCCGTCGTCTTTTCGCCTTCAGTCTTTCCCAATATCTTTCCAGTGAGTCCTCATTTGGTGGTCAAAGTATTTGAGCTTCAGCTCTTCAACTCTCCTTCCAAAGGGCAGTCGGGGTTGATTTTCTTTAAGATGCTCTTACTCATCATTAACTGAGCCAGATTTCTTTTTGCAGTCAAACTCAACCGAAACCTCTTTTTTCTCTTGGAAGATAGCAAGTGGTGCATCTATCACTTACTTCACCGGTTTCCCAGGATTTCTGGATAGTAATAGTAATGGTAGAAATTTGGCCTACTGTAGATTTTTTTTCAGTATCTTAGCATAGGAGCTTATAAAGAGACTGGAAAAATAATGAGAGGAGTATTAGATGCAAAAGAAATAAGAGTTTGTTAGTAGGTTACCCCATAAATAGTAGCTTAGGCCAGGTTGCAAAAAGCTTGAGTTTCAAATCATTAAGGTTCTGTCTTAACGAACTTAATAGCGAGGGCTGGAAGTTCTGGTAGATTGCAATATTTTACTGCTGATCCTGGGGTAACTTTAGGGAATGTTGTGTAATACTTGCTTCCTGCTGTGAAGAGCTGGACATTGAGCATGCAATCCATCTGGTCCTGGTTATCTGAACTGCCTTTCTGTCAAGTTGGAATTCTGCCCTTTGAACTATTAATAATCAATTAAATTGTCAGAACATTGCTCAGAAAAGACTGCAAAGCAACAATTGAGTTATGGGGGTTTTTTTGTGATCCGATACCCATTTGCTATTTTCCAGGAACAGCTGACATGGTTTCACTTCTCATCCTTTTTTATTTTTTAAATACATACAGTGCATGACAAAGTCTTTTGTTAACTTGGATTTATTCGGAGCATTTGCTTTCCAGGCATTATCTCCACAAACCTAAATTCCTATATATGCCCTTTTTTGGTGACCTGTCTTTTTTTCTACTTCTTGGACGTGTCATTTGTTTTTCTGTTTTTCACAAAACTTTCGGGATAGCCACAGTGCCCTGTTTTTATGGGCATCCATTTTTCCTCATTGGTATTGTTTGTGATTGTGCTTTCAGTATTTCATTTTTAGAAATTCCTACCCATTTTGTGCTCTTTTTCTCATTAGCTTATTTGTGGTATAATCTGGTCCATAAGTGCTCTTGAGTACATCTTTTTTAAAGTTCAAAATACAATATACCACTCAGCTTCATTTTTTCTTAATATCAAAAATTGTGGTATTAGATGTTCATTCCCAGTTCCTACTACTTATATTTGCCTACTAAGTTTTCCCTAATGATAAGGATCAAATAAAAAATACTTTTTGAATCCCCTTCGCATTAAGGGGAAGGTTATTCTTGATTTGATCCTAATCATTAGGAGAAACTAACAAGTAAATAAGACCAGTCAATAATACAGGTCTTTCATTTCTACTTAGAAGGTCCATGCTTAGCACGGTTTGACATCCGCTTCTACATCTCTGATGGAAAAAAGATTGTCAGCAAGACAGTCAGGAATCTTGGAAAAAGCATGTTTACAAGGTTTGTCTCCCAACAGATGTGGAGATAATAAAATGCTGGCAAACCAACAATTGGCCATGGAGGACAGGAGAAGAGAGAAAGAGACAAGAGTTTGTTTCAAATACTGAAAATGTTCTGAATTTCAATTCTGCCGAACCTCAGAACACTCAGAATGGTTTGACAGAATCTCAGAGGCACAATGTATTCACAGATAATCCTCGACTTAGGATCACAATTGGGACTGGAATTTCTGCCTGTAAGTGATATGGTCATAAAGCATGATGTCACATGATTGTGTTGCTTAGCGATGGCAAGCCCAACATTCCCTGTTGCTGTCAGCAAATTCTACTGGTCGTTAGCCGAGCCCCCTACCATCTCTGTCTTTTGGTCATTTTGCACCGTGCTTTGTGGGAAGGCAAGCAACCCCAGAACTGCATGGCTTAGGCCCTAAGAGCCTTAGGGGGTTCTTGGTGTACTGTAGCTCTGGGATGTCAGCACATATATTTTTCTCTCTAGTAGAGAGAGGCGCTAATAATGGGCCCCTCACAGAAGAAGTACCCCAAATCCTAGGAGTGTGTTAGACTGAACCCCAAGCAACTGATCAAACATTTTTAACTGCCTTTTCTTTAAAGTTACCCTGTCATGGGAATATGAAGCTGTTGGACTGTGGTTTCATCATTGCACTGTGTGTTTACACTTGCTGATTATTTTGTATTGCAGTTCCACCTCTCATTTATTTCAATCATAGCAGATTGAACCCATTTTCAGATTTCAAAGCTGCGATAATCAGAATAAAATTGCTTTCACTGATACTCAATGATCCATAACTGTCATTTTTTTTCTGAACTTAACCAACTAAAATTTTTAATCAAAAATAGGAAGCCTTCCAAAAAATAATAAAAATCAGCCTGAAGACAAGTCTTTGTTCATTTACCATCATTTATTTTAAGAAGAAAGTTATTGCTGTGCAATTTATTTTGTTTCATCGTTTTGAAAGACTGTCCGAATAACAAAATAACAGAGTTGGAAGAGTCGTTGGAGATCTTCTAGACCAACCAGGAAACATTGTACCATTTCAGACAAATGATTGTCCAATCTATTCTTAAAAACTTCCAGTGTTGGAGCATTCACAACTTCTGAAGGTAAGTTGTTCCACTGATTAATTGTTCTAACTGTCAGGAAATGTCTTCTTAGTTCTAGGTTGGTTCTTTCGATTAGTTTTCATCCATTGCTTCTTGTCCTGCCTTCAGGTGCATTGGAGAATAGGTTGACTCCCTCTTCTTTGTGGCAGCCCCTGAGATATTGGAACACTGCTATCATGTCACTCCTAGTTGTTCTTTTCATTACACTAGACATACCCAATTCCAGCAACTGTTCTTTATATGGTTTAGCCTCCAGTCCCCTAATCATCTTTGTTACTCTTCTCTGCACTCTTTCTAGAGTCTCAACATCAACAAATGTCAGTTTAAGGTGAAACTGTTTCAAACATCAGTTTTGCTTGTTCATTTTCAGACTAGCCTCTATTGCAACTGAAATTAGCTTTTAAAAGAGTAATACATTTATGTTTGAATTAGCATTCTGCCTGCTGTTCCCAAAGGATTATAACATGTTAATCAGATGCATGAGAAAGATTCAAAAGGTAAATAACCTGGTTGTGTAATATCTGGGGAGCTCAGTTGTTTATCATTGTGCTTTTAAGGGAAGTACAAAATGTAGAAATCAGTAACAAATCTCATTCATGTTGAGTCCAATTCCTAATGATGGAGGATACATTTATTTAGTGATAACAATATGAAGCCCTTTAGGTTTGTGGCAGAATATAAATATGATAATACCTGTACATCTAAATAAATAGATCACAAAATGGTTTGCTATTACTTTCTTTCAGGATTCTTTTCCCCTCAGTCTAGTGTACGGTGCTTTTTTCATTGTGATTTCTCATCCAAATATTAGGTGTGTCCCTGCTTAGATTTCTGTATTAGCCATAGTTTTCTAGGTGTGTTTCTAGGCAGAAATCAAAGCATTGTGAATGTGCAGGCTGTAATTCTGACATTAAAAGCTAGCTGGACAGTCAATCCATTTCCACTAGTAAAGCTTGGCTCTTGGTCACAAAGTCAGATTGCTCTGCTGTAATTAAAAACAAGTGATAAAACTCAGAGAGAAACTTAGAGATTAGTTGCTGATTAAGACTGAAAAAGTGCACAGTTTAACATGTCCCTAGTCAATCTCTGAAAAATGACTCCAGGAAGCAAACATCAGAGAGCCCCCTGCTTTCTGTAAAAATAATTAAAAGTTTAGCCAGGATTTTGTATCAGATTATCGATTTATTTTCTTTGTTGCATTGTCTAACTTTCTGTATTTCACCTAATATTCTCATTTGCAGAAAGGCATACACCAGGTGAGGTGTGCTAGGGAAGACAAATGGACAAGAGAGAACTATTAAGACATTACCTCAAAGGAAGAAGCTGGCCAAACCACGAAAATCCAGAAGGTTTCAGGGGAGAGAAGGAAAGATTTCAGATGTCCAGCCTTCCAATATTTGGGCACAGCTCTTGTGCTAAGACTTTTCGTAAACATTATTGCATATTAATGCTTTCTTATCAAGGTGTTACTGTATTGAAAGTTGCAAAAGTTGGTTGAAATATTAGCAGATTTATTCCCTAAACAGGATAATGGAAGAAATGTCTGTAGCAGTTCTCTGTTGAAAGAGAAGATGAAAAGGATTATGTAAGTATATTGTTGTATATCTTTGTTCCCTGGCCTGTCTATCAATTATAATCTATTTTTTTATTACAGGAGATTGGCCAAGACGTTAATCCTATTGATACAATTGCTTTGGGGTAATAAGCAATTTCTCTGTGAAATAGTTTGAAAGTGAATAGATATCTNCCTTCTAATATGTCCTTTAGTATCATCCCTTACTTGTTTCAAAAAATTCCCATTTTCCATAAAAGAAGCAGTTTTTTTATCAATTCGCCATCTCTCTTGAATTTGTCTATACACAAGCCAAGAAAAGTCTGGATACTTCCGTCTCAAAACATCTATTGATTTGAGGCACCATTCACCACTACCACTCAAATATAACAAAGCTCTTTTTCTCATTAGCTTATTTGTGGTATAATCTGGTCCATAAGTGCTCTTGAGTACATCTTTTTTAAAGTTCAAAATACAATATACCACTCAGCTTCATTTTTTCTTAATATCAAAAATTGTGGTATTAGATGCTCATTCCCAGTTCCTACTACTTATATTTGCCTACTAAGTTTTCCCTAATGATTAGGATCAAATCAAAAATACCTTTTGAATCCCCTTCACATTCAAAAGGGGAAGGTTATTCTTGATTTGATCCTAATCATTAGGAGAAACTAACAAGTAAATAAGACCAGTCAATAATACAGGTCTTTCATTTCTACTTAGAAGGTCCATGCTTAGCACGGTTTGACATCCGCTTCTACATCTCTGATGGAAAAAATATTGTCAGCAAGACAGTCAGGAATCTTGGAAAAAGCATGTTTACAAGGTTTGTCTCCCAACAGATGTGGAGATAATAAAATGCCGGCAAACCAACACATTGGCCATGGAGGACAGGAGAAGAGAGAAAGAGACAAGAGTTTGTTTCAAATACTGAAAATGTTCTGAATTTCAATTCTGCCGAACCTCAGAACACTCAGAACGGTTTGACAGAATCTCAGAGGCACAATGTATTCACAGATAATCCTCGACTTAGGATCACAATTGGGACTGGAATTTCTGCCTGTAAGTGATATGGTCATAAAGCATGATGTCACATGATTGTGTTGCTTAGCGATGGCAAGCCCAACATTCCCTGTTGCTGTCAGCGAATTCTACTGGTCGTTAGCCGAGCCCCCTACCATCTCTGTCTTTTGGTCATTTTGCACCGTGCTTTGTGGGAAGGCAAGCAACCCCAGAACTGCATGGCTTAGGCCCTAAGAGCCTTAGGGGGTTCTTGGTGTACTGTAGCTCTGGGATGTCAGCACATATATTTTTCTCTCTAGTAGAGAGAGGCGCTAATAATGGGCCCCTCACAGAAGAAGTACCCCAAATCCTAGGAGTGTGTTAGACTGAACCCCAAGCAACTGATCAAACTTTTTTAACTTCCTTTTCTTTAAAGTTACCCTGTCATGGGAATATGAAGCTGTTGGACTGTGGTTTCATCATTGCACTGTGTGTTTACACTTGCTGATTATTTTGTATTGCAGTTCCACCTCTCATTTATTTCAATCATAGCAGATTGAACCCATTTTCAAATTTCAAAGCTGCGATAATCAGAATAAAATTGCTTTCACTGATACTCAATGATCCATAACTGTCATTTTTTTTTGAACTTAATCAACTAAAATTTTTAATCAAAAATAGGAAGCCTTCCAAAAAATAATAAAAATCAGCCTGAAGACAAGTCTTTGTTCATTTACCATCATTTATTTTAAGAAGAAAGTTATTGCTGTGCAATTTATTTTGTTTCATCGTTTTGAAAGACTGTCCGAATAACAAAATAACAGAGTTGGAAGGGTCGTTGGAGATCTTCTAGACCAACCAGGAAACATTGTACCATTTCAGACAAATGATTGTCCAATCTATTCTTAAAAACTTCCAGTGTTGGAGCATTCACAACTTCTGAAGGTAAGTTGTTCCACTGATTAATTGTTCTAACTGTCAGGAAATGTCTTCTTAGTTCTAGGTTGGTTCTCTCGATTAGTTTTCATCCATTGCTTCTTGTCCTGCCTTCAGGTGCATTGGAGAATAGGTTGACTCCCTCTTCTTTGTGGCAAGCCCTGAGATATTGGAACACTGCTTTCATGTCACTCCTACTTGTTCTTTTCATTACACTAGACATACCCAATTCCAGCAACTGTTCTTTATATGGTTTAGCCTCCAGTCCCCTAATCATCTTTGTTACTCTTCTCTGCACTCTTTCTAGAGTCTCAACATCAACAAATGTCAGTTTAAGGTGAAACTGTTTCAAACATCAGTTTTGCTTGTTCATTTTCAGACTAGCCTCTATTGCAACTGAAATTAGCTTTTAAAAGAGTAATACATTTATGTTTGAATTAGCATTCTGCCTGCTGTTCCCAAAGGATTATAACATGTTAAACAGATGCATGAGAAAGATTCAAAAGGTAAATAACCTGGTTGTGTAATATCTGGGGAGCTCAGTTGTTTATCATTGTGCTTTTAAGGGAAGTACAAAATGTAGAAATCAGTAACAAATCTCATTCATGTTGAGTCCAATTCCTAATGATGGAGGATACATTCATTTAGTGATAACAATATGAAGCCCTTTAGGTTTGTGGCAGAATATAAATATGATAATACCTGTACATCTAAATAAATAGATCACAAAATGGTTTGCTATTACTTTCTTTCAGGATTCTTTTCCCCTCAGTCTAGTGTACAGTGCTTTTTTCATTGTGATTTCTCATCCAAATATTAGGTGTGTCCCTGCTTAGATTTCTGTATTAGCCATAGTTTTCTAGGTGTGTTTCTAGGCAGAAATCAAAGCATTGTGAATGTGCAGGCTGTAATTCTGACATTAAAAGCTAGCTGGACAGTCAATCCATTTCCACTAGTAAAGCTTGGCTCTTGGTCACAAAGTCAGATTGCTCTGCTGTAATTAAAAACAAGTGATAAAACTCAGAGAGAAACTTAGAGATTAGTTGCTGATTTAAGACTGAAAAAGTGCACAGTTTAACATGTCCCTAGTCAATCTCTGAAAAATGACTCCAGGAAGCAAACATCAGAGAGCCCCCTGCTTTCTGTAAAAATAATTAAAAGTTTAGCCAGGATTTTGTATCAGATTATCGATTTATTTTATTTGTTGCATTATCTAACTTTCTGTATTTCACCTAATATTCTCATTTGCAGAAAGGCATATACCAGGTGAGGTGTGCTAGGGAAGACAAATGGACAAGAGAGAACTATTAAGACATTACCTCAAAGGAAGAAGCTGGCCAAACCACGAAAATCCAGAAGGTTTCAGGGGAGAGAAGGAAAGATTTCAGATGTCCAGCCTTCCAATATTTGGGCACAGCTCTTGTGCTAAGACTTTTCGTAAACATTATTGCATATTAATGCTTTCTTATCAAGGTGTTACTGTATTGAAAGTTGCAAAAGTTGGTTGAAATATTAGCAGATTTATTCCCTAAACAGGATAATGGAAGAAATGTCTGCAGCAGTTCTCTGTTGAAAGAGAAGATGAAAAGGATTATGTAAGTATATTGTTGTATATCTTTGTTCCCTGGCCTGTCTATCAATTATAATCTATTTTTTTATTACAGGAGATTGGCCAAGACGTTAATCCTATTGATACAATTGCTTTGGGGTAATAAGCAATTTCTCTGTGAAATAGTTTGAAAGTGAATAGATATCT